TTTACAACGTCCATGAAGCGAGAAAAATCAACTATAATAAATTTTTCTCAGCCCAAATACGACCCCCCTGGCGACCAAATACGACCCCCCCCCTATTGGGGATCGTATCCCCAACAACGATGTGCCCTGACAAGGACACATTCCAGAGCACAGATGTCTGTTGTGAAAAATTGACTTAGCAGCAGAGCGTGTGAAAGCAGCTGGTTGAACCTGAACAGCTTCTGACCTGTGTGGCCAATTGAAGGTGGATGGTCTTTGTGGGAAGAGCATTCATACATTTTGGCCTTCCTAGGTCAATTTGAGCGCGTCGATCATTGCAAAATGCGTAATGGAAAACCTCCTCTGGACTCATATCCTTATTACCCAGGCATATTTATTCGATACTGTGGGAGGAATGCGGGAGCTTTTGCGCAAGAAAAAACCTAGAAGAGCCGAGGGAGAGGCCCGAGATACTCATACGGTTGTCATTATTGCAGTTGATACTAGACGAGAATTACGCATCTTGTCAACTTCTTCAGCTTCGTTGGTTGAGACCAGACAAGAGTGGCAAAAGTTTCGGACAGGTCATGTAGATGCAGGCCATTGGGCGTCTGACTTGCTTCCGTGACGTACAACTAGTCCGGCTCTGCGGCCCGTCACAGGAAGAAATAGAAATGAAAGGAATTGCTACAAAATACAAGGGTTCATTTTGTCTCTTACCTCATACAAAGCATTTTAATCAGGTCAGCCCCGGGACTCATCAGTGAGGTAAGGTTGATGAAATAAGGACAACAATGGGGGGAGAGCTGAAGAAAGGACTATGAGAAATCGGAACGCGTACGCAAATCCTGCGATAAGAAAAAGGTAAGGAGAAGATAGTGACTGACAAATCAGATGCAGTTGACCAACAAAAAGGAGAGGGCTTTGCGATCCCGAACAAGAATTCAATAAGTAATATGTACGTGATGATAATAAAAACTAAAAAACAAATTTTCACCGCCGTGAAGGATTTCATCCTAGCCAATTTCTTTACTTGGGAGGCAACAAAATCATTTAGTACGCCACATGCTTCAAATTTGATAATAAATTTCATTAACAATTGCTCTATGACATGTAAGTTGCTAAACTCGAAGAACTAACAGAACGCAGCCCAAAGATGTGCGTCAAAAATGAGAAAACAGGACAAAAGCAAGACCCTATTCAACACAATTGAAGTAACGAAAAACCGATTTCCTAAACAATGAAAAAGTATCGGATATCGGTATAGCTCTGCTCATCTTTGAAAACTCCATGCCTGCACGAAAAGTGAAAAATTTGCGCCCCAACAAAGTACGCGGTTGCCGAAAAACAAGCCTGAACCTCCAACCTCTAGTCCTAGAAGGCGCAAGACTATAAAATGACTGAGGTTAAGATCAATACGTTTGTTAAGGATGTTGTAACCATGAGAAGATCGTTTCGCCTAAGCCTCACACATAATGGATCCAAGTTGATCATTTTATTCCTTACTACACCTCGAGGTATACTTTTGTATGTAAACCCAAGGGCTCTAAGGAAAAGCTTTCAGTCTTTTTTCCCCCCCCCCCCTCCCCGCTGTCATCTACTGAAATAGCGATTGACTGCGACAAAATCAACAGTAGTCGACATATGAATTATATGATGGCCAACTTCGCGCTGCCCCAGTCCATCCATGAGGGGGGTGCTAGCCAGTACCCTGGCCAGCACCCGAAAATAAAATAATGATAGGGATATAGTTGATATTACAACATTCCCTCCAAAAGGACAGCTTAACTCAAAAAAGTGACAGAAAACTTTCCCACCAGTTTAGTGAAGAGGGACAGTGAATATTCAGATAAAGTATGAAGAGCCGTTAGCAGACTTCTGTTGCGAACCCTGAGAGTTTTCCGTGGCCAACGAAAAACGCTTCATCCTCAACGCTCTGTCCGCGAATGTCTTGCCTCATTTCTGTCAATTTCGATGTGTACTGCATTTCCGAACGTTTATTGCATCCTGATGTGGCTTGCATTAGAGGAATGTTTGGCGACACCACTTTTATAATATTTGCATTTTATGGTAATTATACATTAAAAGGCTGACAGCATCAGTAGAGGAGTCCTTGAGATATTCCGCACTTTGATGGAGAAGAAATATCATAACAGATTGAGAGGGTTGGAGGTGTGCAGAGCTCCGAAGACGCATAAAAGTCATAATAGACCTGACCACCATTTCTTTCTCTAATACGTCGTTCGGAATCTGTAACCTTCCTCACTTACAGTCGCTATCACAGAAGTAAGTCAGGGTGTGGCGCGGAGCTCATTGAACGACTCAAAGGTGCACTTGATGGAATACAGGCTGGCACCGGGGCAGTACCCACGCGCCGCTGACTTGCTCCAACTGACTTCACCAATGATGACCTTGTGCCAGCCATTCTTCGCTGATAAGGTAGTTGTCTCACGTCACGGTGAGCTTTTTGAAAAGTTTTTTGCTCAATGTAGGGGTCAAGGACCACACAGATAGAGTTCATTCCTGCTAAACTTTGTTGAAAATGTCAAAAGGGAAGTGAAAAAGATTCGAGAGAGAAGGGCGATTTTGACCACCTTATACAGCTCCGTTCTAGCTTGTGTTCTTCTAGGGTATGTAGTTAATGAGGTGTTATTCAAGTATGCATGAAAAGCGACGCAAAATAAGATCCATGTGCTCTACTTTGCATGCGATGAGCTATATTAAGGATTTTCAGTGATTCCTGCACCATATCTTCCTGCAAGTAGTGATTATTTAGCGCCAAGATGACCCAAAATGACCACAGCGCTGAAATAATTTTCAAGATCGTGATCCCTTTGTGAGCAGGTAGCCAGGTTCGCAGAGGCAAGCGACTACACCACTTTTACGGCGCAAAAACGAGTGAGGAGGCCCACGATGCCGTCGTTCCTCTCATTTTCCTAACCCCCTAATATTGGCACCGCACATTTCTAATATTGCCTGATGGTGCGGTTGTTCTGCTACTGATTCTCTCCACTTGGAATGGTGAGAATGAGGTGATAAGGGAAAACAGCTGATACCAACAAGTGACAACTCGTGCGGCCACGGCTTCTTTTCCGCCTTATGCACGTCAACCCTCGTTGCGATGGGGTGGTAGATGGGACATTTCCGGTGAGCTTTTCTGGCTTTTTTCACTACTGGATTCATTTGCTCCATTGTTATCACTATTTGAGCTCCACAGCTGATCATATTTAGACGCGAGCTGAGCCTTTGAACAAGCATCCCGAACCAATCTCAGCTTTGATCGTCTAGACCTTCATAAGGCAACTCCTTACGACGGAAAAAGATATTTTTTTTTGTCGAGAGGTTGTATAACGTTTGCTGCCACTAAGTTACATGCCATCCATCAACCCGGAACTCAGAACGTTCGCCTGCTGAACATTAATTTTGGGTAAGCTAATTGCCCCAATCGATGAACGCCTTACTAAGTTCAGGGAAGATTTCTCAATTGTATTTTTCGAGAGCGTATAGTTTTAGTAGCGGTCTCTTTTGTAAGGCCATTATTGAATAGAATGAGGCCCTTTGTCGGTATGCTATCTGTTATGTGCCACATCTGAAAACTAGCGCAAAAGAGATGTCTCCAAGCGGACCTCGATGCCAGAATTACACGGCGCTCTTTGAAAGTCTAATCGTGCTTTCAATCACATCATTCTTGTCGAACTGGGTATTTGTTTATATTATATTTGTTAATTTACAATGCATTCATATAGTACGCGCCATAGCAAACAGTCATAAAACAACAGTTGACGTTCACAGCGCAGTACTGGGCAGCAATTAGACTTCGCGATAGCAGCGCTTCGGTCGCGCGTTCGACGCGATCGAAAAACATGCACATTGATCGTCGAACTGCGCGACCGAAGCGTCGCTGTCGCGAAGTCTGAATGCTGCCCTAAAGAAACTCAAGCACTTCTTCAACACATAGCAGATTAGGTACTAGGATTTTGACCATTTATGCCTAGTTGAAGAACACCTCACAATCTTATACAACAGATGGAACAGAGCCGTATAAGTTAATTAAAACAGCCCACAAGTGAGGTGATAAGGGAAAACAGCTGATACCAACAAGTGAGAACTCGTGCGGACCACGGCCTTCTTTTCGCCTTATGCACGTACAACCTCATTCGGATGGGGTTGTATATGGGACATTTCCGGTGAGTTTTTCTGCTTTTTTCACTACTGGATCATTTGCTACCTTGTTATTACTATTTGAGCTGCACAGCTCATCATATTTAAACACGAGCTAGCCTTCAAACAAGCATCCCGAACCAATCTCAACTTTGATCGTCTAGACCTTCATCAAGGCAACTCCTTACGCCGGAAAAAGAAATTTTTTTTTCGAGAGGTTGTATAACGTCTGCTGCCACTAACTTACATGCCATCATAACCCGGAACTCAGGAACGTTCCTGCTGAATATTAAATTTGGGTAGCTAATGACCCATCGGATGAACGCCTTACCTAAGTTTCAGGGAGATCTTCTCCAATTGTATTTCGAGAGCGTAATAGTTTAGTAGGGGTCCTTTGTGAGCCATTATTGTATAGAATGAGCCCTTAGTGGTATATATCTGTATGTGCGTAATGCACATCTGAAAACTGCAAAAGAATGTCTCCAAGCGGACCTGATCCAGAAATTACACCGCGCTTTGAAAGTCTATCGTGCTGTTCATCACATCATTTGTCGAACTGGGTATTTGTTTATATTATATTTGTTAATTTACAATGCATCCATAGGACGCGCCATAGCAAACAGTCATAAAACAACAGTTAACGTTCACAGCGCAGTACTGGGCAGCATTCAGACTTCGCGACAGCAGCGCTTCGGGTCGCGCGTTCGACGCGATCGAAAACATGCACATTGATCGTCGAACTGCGCGACCGAAGCGTCGCTGTCGCGAAGTCTGAATGCTGCCCTAAAGAAACTCAAGCACTTCTTCAACACATAGCAGATTAGGTACTAGGATTTTGACCATTTATGCCTAGTTGAAGAACACCTCACAATCTTATACAACAGATGGAACAGAGCCGTATAAGTTAATTAAAACAGCCCACTCTGAGCAGTTTGCTTTTGCTTCTTTTTTGGCAGTTTTAGAAGCACTCAACAAAAATGCACCTCGCCTATGTGGTCCATTCATGGGCCCCTACATCATGCAACGAAACGTTTTCAGAAAGCTCACCATGACTTGAACAACCTCCCTTGTCACGGGTTGGATTCCAGTAGTGGTCATTGATCTACTAAGAGGGTGTGTTAGCAGCGTTCAGACTTCGCGACGGCAGCGTCGGTCGCGCGTTCGGCGCGATCGATGCGCATGCTTTCGACTGCATCGATCGCGTCGAACGCGCGACCTGAAGCGCTGCCGTCGCGAAGTCTGAACGGTGTCTAAGATCGTTAGTTATTAACTCTGGCACAACATGGTCATTTCAGCCAGAGCACTTCGGATATCACACGGAGAGTGTGGTTGGGGGTCGTATTCTTGGGCCTGATCAGGATGCTCTGCATTCGCGTCACCTCGTACGCAGGGATCCTTAGAGAGGAGCGGATAGTATCTGCCTTTGAAAAAGGGGTTTTGACCTGTTGTGGTTTCCCGGGGAAAGAAGGACGTTCCGGGATATCTCAGAAAGTGTGGTGAAAAATCGGGGAACTTCAGAAAGATGGTAGGTGGGATGGCGAATGGGGGAGAAGGAACTAAAGCAGAGCTCTCACTAGAGGAGGAACCCTGCCAGCGATGGTACTGAAATTCGTCTTCCAAGGGCTGAATGTAGTAGATTCGATCGTGGATCACTTCATGATGTAGTTCCTGAAGCTGATGTTCGGGATGACAAGATTGGTCGTTCTCAGGGTAATTTTTACCGTCGCGCTAATGTGGGGTGTTTTCAGTTCTCAACCGACAACGGTCTCACTGCAATGATTGCACATCTGCTCTTCTTCCTGCTCCTCTTGCCGTCGGCCTTGGGCCGTGTGAAAGGCACGTGTTTTGGAAGTATAACTTTATCACTTTCATAACTTTTTTGTAATTTTTTTCTTTCAGTCGATGCAAACGCTCTTATGAATCAGCTTTTCCACTTTACCAAGGATGATTTCCGATACATCGACAAATTCGAGTTGGACCACAAGAGGCCTTCCTCTCTTGACGGAGTTTGATTTCTCATTTATTCATTTATTTATTACAACTTTTTAATATGCCGGGTAAATGTGGTGTAGTGGTAAGTAGTCCATCCGGGGGCCAAACCAGAATCGTCAACAAGTCCTTTTAGGATCTGTAAATCAGTATCAAACTTGTTCGGGAGCATGGGAAACACAACCATGTACACTCCTTATCCCTGAGCCAGAGTAGGCGTGGCATCTGAAAATGGCACGGAACTGGTTACTCATGGAATGTTCCAGTCTGGGCCAACTGTCATCTTGTTCTGTGTCGGACAGAGACACGACAACACTTGTGTCAAGATGAAAATATCTCACCAGAAGCATAGACAACTTCAGGTTAAGTTGAAAAATGCGGCCACGCCTACCCGATCTCAGGGATTTCGAGTATACATAGGCTGATCCCCGCAAATCCAATGTATGGTTCTGGTTCTGTGGGCAGTGTATCAGTTCCGCTCACTTGAACATGCCCCTCTACCTTCCCAAATTGGCAATCTACGAATTTTTCGACAGCTCCTCACGAAACGTGCACATTGCATGAACTGTAGAGGAATGGGGGAGCAATCAGATGTAATGATCCCACAAATGGCTTCAGAACGGTCATTTCCCAGGGGAGACTTGTACCAAACAGCGCACGTCGGGCGCTGGGAAGTCCCTAACCGGAAGATAGCATTCGGTCCGCTGGAGGAGGGGAAAAGTCGAATTTGAACCAGGGCACGTCATCGCGATGTGATCATTTCCTAAAAAAATACGACTCCAGGCCTCTAATTGCCATCCTCACATACGCCCCCCCCCTGAGCCATGCTACGCCTAACTTTCCTAGGATTTTCCAACTTCCATACCACTGTTTTTTCCAAATTTTAAAGTCCGAGAATTTTCTTGTCGAGCGAGGGAGGGCGGGGGACGTCTACCACCAGTGGAAACAGGAGAAATTTTTCAGATTGTCCCTAATCTCCTACCATTTTTAGTCTCTCCGAAATTTCCCGAAATATTTCCGGTTTTTCTCCAAAATTTTGTAGTCCGAGCGGGGGGAGGGCGGAGGGGTAAGGTCGTTAGGACCCAATAGTCATTTGAGTCTATCTTTCATCTATCTTATCAATAAGTTATATTACAGTCTTTGACAGTCTCTATCCCTTTGACAACGGACGAAATACGATCATACGACCCCCCCCCCTCCCTCGCGGCTCAAATCGACTCCGCTCCGCTGGGATCATCGCGTGCCCTGATCTGAACAAAGGACTATCTGTGATAGTTGATTTTACTTGTTTCAGGCGCCTAGCCCACATCATTGGTTCCCACATTCCCACTGAGCAGGGCGATGTTGCACTCGCTAGTGGCTTTCAGATAGGGGTCTTTAACAGTTAATATCCACCGGTTTTCTTCGCATTTCCACCGTTTTTCCCGCTTTCACCTGATTGCTTATCTGCACCCTCCCCCCACCCCTCTCGCTCACAGGTCGTAAGTTTTTTGCGGCAAAACATGAAAAACCCTGAAAAATTTTGGGAAACGGTGCGCCTAGAAATTTAGGGAGAAGTTGCCTGCTGTGAGGGCACTCCAGGAATCCCCTATTGTAGGCTACCTATCCTCATGGGAAAAACTGGATCCATTTGTTCCGCTGCCTAAGTGCCAAATACAGCCTGGAATAAAATCGACTGCGGACAATAAGATTTCTGTCGTGCGAACTGATGGCAACATTGATGATCCCTTGATTTGGGGCTATGCACATCCAAAGGCCATGTTAACTAAGCATTCTGTCCCTCGCTACCTCACCTATGATTCACCCCTTGATGACGCAATTCCCATGCTCTCAATAACTATATATTTGGTATATGTTCAGGTTATCGGATGGCTGGCTCTGCACAAATTTGGAGCAAAGGACAATCCCTGTCTGCCGTCATAAACTGCCAAGCATTTGTCATACAGCTACGCGAAGACAGCGAAACTGATTAGTTTCGCCGCTGGCAAATTCTTCCTTGCGGTGAGTGTGCCATGAAATCTGTTCGTCAAGCACGATCAAAATATTTCATTCCATTTCAGTTGTGCTATCACGGCTAATGGATTCTGCAACGCGTCAATCATTGCAAGCGGAGCAGGAATCTCTCGTGATATACAACTCGTCCCTCTTTTGTTTCCCAGGCCTTTTTCTTGCTTATTAACAATTAGAGGATTCTCGAAATTTTTTTAGGATCCTTCCATACTTGTCTGTGGATAAGAAGACCAGCGATTATCTCTTCGGGAAATTCCCCACCCTCAGAACGCTGCTTTGGTGAGTATTTCTTTCATTGTTCGACGTTAGTCCCGGACGGGAGTGAGACTACCTTATTTGATGTTCCCCTCCCGAAATTCCCTCATCTAGTTCGACTACCTCGCCTATCCCACTCGCGACACCACTTCACATTTCCCACGCAAATGGGACTGACCACAGCTTTCACCGACAATGCCTGAAATCAGCTGGTCAGAGTTCCAACTAGCAGCCCAGGCATTGTACAGCATGTGTGATCTGTGAACTGTGAAATAGTGGTGTAGGTACGCGAGCCCCCTAAATGAAGGTCGACCCTCCTCCCCCTTCCCCAACTCCCTAGCTACCATTATCCCACATTTTTCAGTTCTTCACCCAAGAATTCTCCGTCGAACCAAGTGGAGGAGGGGAGCGGAGGAGGGTAAATGGCACATGTAGAACAGGAAGATTTCTTAGATTTCACTTCCTACCACTTTTCCGGGAATTCACCGGGAATTTTCCTACTTTTTTCCCCGAATTTAGCTTTTGAGCCAGCAGAGAAGGGAGAGGTATTCTCGTCATCCGGGCAGTTGATTAGGGCGGTCGTCAACGGGCCGCAGCGCGTGCCAGGAACTATTTGCTTTAGGCTAATTTAGTCATTTTTTCTAACTTTTCACTGTTTTGGCTGCTTTTTCCAAGATTAGCAGTTCCTTATCTTCACAAGGTGGAAAAAATGACTAAATTAGCCTGGAAAAAGCAAATAGTTCCTGGCACGCGCTGCGGCCCGTTGACGACCGCCCTAATCAACTGCCCGGATGACGAGGGTACGTGTCGTACACTGTGAAACCAGGAAAAGTCGTCGAAAAGTCAAAAAATCGCGTACGCCTGCAGAAATTTCCTCCCAACGTCCCTGGTCTGGTCAATTTCGCTTGAACGGCCACATACGACCCCCCCTCTACCAACAAGCCGAATACGACCCCCCCCCCTTCCCAGTGGAAAAGTACGACCCTATAAATGGTCACAACGATGCTGTATCCTGAGTCCAGAGCCTCGCTTTTGAACCAGCAAGAGGAACTAGCAAAAGTACAAAATGCCCCTCCGATGCAGGACAGCGCTGAGATTGAGCATTGACGAGCACATACTATTATCCAGAAACAAGGGAATGGTTCCTTTAGGGACCATTCCTCATCAGTTTGCCACCCATCTAACCGTCATTAAGCCTTCTGTTTTCCAGAATATCAAGCCACCGGTACACTCACGACGAATCACCAATTTCGAATGTCAACGAGCTTCTTCGTTCGTGTTGTGTTTTTTGACCATCAAACGACCGGATGGTTCCAGCTAAATATTTGCTTATTCGTGTTGCCTCCACATATTACCACACGGTAAAAAGAAACTCGAAAATACCTCCCAAGTGCCTATCACATCGTTGACGAGTTTCCATCGTTTCCAGCACAGCATTTATTAGACCCGACAAAACAGAGGGCACGACAGTTCCATTTGGGCGAATATGAAAGCAAAGCAGCTCAGCGGGAGGGATAAAGCAGCCGAAAACGCGCGGAATATGGTCGTTATCCCCCGACCGACTGGAAAATAGAGCAACAAGCAGTTCTGCCTGCTGTGGATGCTGAGACCTGTCAGGAGGGGGGGGGGTGGGTTTGGCTGTATACTAGCTCGTTTCCACCACTTGTTGTCGTTTGTACGTTTTCAATGATCGGTGAAAGATGGGCGCACACCGAGCTCGCCGCCAACCACTCCGACAGACCTCAGCAGTCAGGAAAAAACGACGCTGCTCATAGTGTAGCTTCGCTGGTCAAGATCACTGCGGAAAAACTAAGATTTTTTGTGGAATTAATGTCCGTCAGAAAGTCCGTCTTGCGGCGGCGGCAAAAAGTAGAACTTTGGGCGACGGCAAAACCCAAATCAAACCATCCTCATCGAAAACAAGGGGACATTGTTATGAAACATCACTGGAATATATGATGACGCGATCCTTGCAACATGCCTGGAAAAAATTCCTCGCTATTCTTCTCTACTTGCCCCTTATAAGGAGCCCCGAGCAAGTGAGAGAAGTGCTAGTTAGCAGCAGACCGGGTGAAAACAGCTGGCTGAAAGCTGGGCCCACTCTTCAACGGCGCCTGTTTGAAGGTGAGTTGCCCTTAAGGAGCGGAGCCCTCGGAAAGTTTTGGCCTTGCTAGATCGCTTTGAGCGCGCTCATCATTACTGGATACATCATGCAAAACGCAGAGCCAATTTCCCTTCTAACCAGGCCTACTAATTTGATATTCCTTAAAGGAACCGTCCGCGATCAGGTATCGAAGTTGAAAATATGACGTCGTATGGCGTCGGGAGGGTAGTGCGGTCCGAGACGAACAACCCTGTACCGTTTTTGCGGCAAAAAAGTCAAGGGGAGGGGCGCTATAAGGCTAAATAGGTCCAGTGGTTCCTCCTTTTTTCCAGTGACTCCGCCTCCCAAGCGCCGCCCTTCAGTGAAAAAACGAAGTAGCGGGACGAGAAAACCAAGAAAATCTGAGCGGCTTCGTTATATGTACGGACGTAGGCGCTTCTATTGAGTCAGCTGAGCACGCGGAGTGGTAAAACTGGAAATGTACTGAAAAAAGTATTGTGTTGCAAAAAGGCACGAAATGTTGGAAAAAAATAGTAACATTTTGAATTTTAGAAGCAAAACAAACTCAAAAAGAACAAAGAAACATAATGATACGATGAATTCACTGAAAAAATAAGAATATTAAAGGTCAGTCTTTCATACGTGGCGCCACACCTACTTCTGGCAGCGAGCCATTAACGTGGAACGCTCGTCCATAAGCGCTGTTTCCCCATCGTATGCACGTACAAACTAGGATTGGAATGGGGCTCTATTTGGGATATTGGGGATGTTTTTTCTGCTTTTTTCTTCACTGTTGGTTTACTCTGAACCTTGTCCTCTTTATGCGATGCCCGAATACACTATCCAAGATGGCAAATGAGCGCGGGCTTTGCCTTTAAGAATCATTGTGTCCACCATCTTCGAAGACATCTTGCAACGGTGTGTAGTAAACAGTAAGCGTTGAGGAACGGAGGTGTTTCCGCGGCGAAAAAAAAAAAAAGCCAGCGGGAAATGTATGTCAGCCCGGTTGAGACTAGACACAGGAGGGCCAACAGTTTTGCGCGGAGGCTTCGTCCTCACCCCACACCAAATCGAAATTTTTTTAACATGGTTCGTGTAAGGGAAGGGGATCAGGAAATGGGTATAACTGTAGTTGGAGGGAGAACTCTCGTTGATCTGGTGATCCCAGGCCTTCTTTGGATAGGATGTACCAATTTCACAGCCCAAAATACGAGAGGCAGATAGGGAGTGAACTGAATGAAAAAACAGAGATGAACAAACGCACGGACATAAGGAAAGGTAGATGGACGGACAGATATACAGACAGATAGACAGACAGACAGACATACAGACAGACAGAGAGACATATATGCACAAGATCCAGAGCGATCATACATTGCAACGCGATGAGCTGGTATCGGCAGTAGATACAACATATAGAAGCTTGCACACTCCCCATCCTGGACATAGAGAAGGCGTTGCCGCGCCGCCGCTTGATCCTATGCACGTATTAGGTTGTCCGGAAAGTTCTTAGCGTTTTGGGTGTTTAACTTTAAACGATCATAACTTTCTTAACACTCATCGGATTTAATCCAAATAAGCACCATTCGAATCAGCACACTTTTGCCAATGTGGCAGCAGTCGAGAAATCCCATCAAAGAAAAAACTGGGTGGTCGAGAATCCCACAAAA